GCTGTGATGCTTAATGATATTTATCTCAATCAGAGGAAAAATTAAGACAGGCACCTACTTCCCATATATAAAGAATTGGACTCAACAAAGAAGTTGCTTTTTCGAAATTAACTTTTGAGAGACCTTGGAATAAACATGTATCATCCATGATAATGGGTGTAGATTTCTACTACCCAGATTCAGTTAAACCACTTCAAATCCTGGATACAGCATTTTCTATAGCAAAACATTTTACTTTCATTTTTCAGTACTTGCTGCTTTCTATAATTCTATTAGATAAGGTATTTGATTTTTCTGAAAAAGAAGGTGAGCTATTGAGTGCACTGGGACAAAGCATTTAGAACCACACTGTCAAAAGGCATAAATGGGCATGGCAATGCTAGAAGAAAAAATCTGTGATGTTAGGGGTCTAGTTAGGGCCTTGTGTCTTGACTGCCCAGGCTGGGAGTAGCTGCTTTGCTATTTCAACCTCCAAGAGTACCTCAGGCAGAGTGACATCTCCTCTCTCCTTTCACTTCTATTTCTTTTGTCAGTGAAGAGCATTCTCAACTCTGCTGTCCAGCTTGAAGAGTATCTGAGATGAGAGTAGGGTGTGTGTAGGAACCTATAAGGAAGAAAGGCTCATAAATGACAGAATTGCAGACCAAAACACAAATTAAATATCTTCTTCAAGTTATACAAGATACTTTTAATAGAACACAAGTCTCTGGAATTTGCTGCTTATCACTTGTCATGCTCTCACCCTGTGACCTCACACTTGAAATTCCATGGCCTTGTCCTGGTGGTGAGTAGGAAGTCCCACTTCGTCATTTACTTCAGTGGGTCTCAATTGCAGTATTTCAGAAAACAAACTTTCATTTGACACTCAGGAGAATAAAAGCAATTTGAGGGCAGAATGTATTTGGAAAAGTTTTAGACAAATTTACTTGTATTATTTTAGAATTATCTAGGATTAAAGATCAATGTACCTCCATAATATTTTTTAATAGTCACTGTGACCACAGGATGAAAATCCTTTATTAGCCATTTTATAGGTAAAAACAAAAGATTGAAAACACAGCCAACTTCCCTCAGATGACTATGAAATCTGTTATGAATACTGAATGACCAAAGAGCATGGAAAAATGCATATGAAAAAAAATACTGAAATGTTTATGAAAGATATTTATGAAAGATGTTACGACTCCTGTATTTGAATATGCACATAAAATAAAATAAATCTAAAAACGTTTAAGATGCCTGAGTAAGCTTCATTTCTCAACAGAGGGAATAGGTCACCTTCTTCGGGAAGGTGTTCATTTTAACAAAGGGGTGTGCCATGTTAATGGCCTCTCTTGCTGTCCTTTCCCACTCCCCCAGTCTGCCCTAAGGCCACCATCCAACTTGGTCCTAGTTTTTTGAGTCAGACACCGCCAATGCCCCAGCCCCCAATGAACTCCATTCTTCTCATGCTTTCCATCTTTACTTTTCAAAATGAATCAGAACGGGCACATTGGGAGGCAGGTACCTCCATCTTGACAGCTCTGCCTAGGCTATGACCTGTTTGGATGGCTGGTATATTTCCCAGCAGAAAGGTTAAGGATTTGGTTATCCTCTAAATAGGGTCCAAGCACCAGTTCTGCCTTTTATACAAAAGTGCAAAGTGCCCTGTCCTTACCCTCTAAGGAATGGTCTTGCTAAATTTATTTTCTTTCCTCATGTAGTTTTACTTCCATCTCTTTTCCTGACCCAATGACCCTACCTAGGCACATTTGGCAGCAGCACAGACACTCTTACCTACTTGTGGATTGTGCCTGAACAGTAAATAAAATGTATCACAATTTTTCAATAAGTACCACCAAGAGGAAAAAAACAAAGAAGAAGGACAGAAGCCAAAAGGAGGGAAATAATAATAACCACCATCCTGTACTGAGGACCAGGCAGAGTGCTGGGCACATTGCCTGGATTAGCTCATTTAATTCTCCTGAGAAACAATTTTAATTCCCCTTAAATCCAGATTTCTGGAGCCTGTGTAGGTTAGAGTAACCCACCCAGGCCATTGTCCTTAGATGTCCTTTTGAACCATGAGCCTTGATAAAACTGGTTTCCTAAAGTCACCTTTAAGTCAAACAACAGTCTAGTAAGCACTTTAGGGAAGACCAATTTGCCTTAGGCTGTTTTGATATCAGAAGGGTTCAGACCTTAGAGAAGGACATCATGCTTGGTAGAGGGTCAGTCAAAAAGAAAAAGAGGAAGACGTCAACGAGATGGACTGACACAGTGACTGCAAAGATGGGCTCAAGCAAAACAACGATTGTGAGGAAGGCACAGGATGAGGCAGTGTTTTGTTCTGTTGTACATAGGGTCACCATGAGTCAGAACCCACTGGACTTCACCTAACAACAGCAGCCAGTTTCAAGAAACAGAAACTCAAGTGTGGGACTGGAAGCTGTGCTTTAGGGTAAATTGTTATTAAGTAAACACTGCCCTTTTCTACGGAAATTGATAAGATGAGGCATAAGAATTTTTGGAATTTCTTTTCATCTTTGGAACATTTTAGCTCGGCTATTAACCAAAAGGTCTGCAATTCAAATCCACCAGCTGCTCCTTAGAAACCCCATGGGGCAGTTCTACTCTGTCCTATGGGGGTTGCTATAAGCTGGAATAGACTCGACAGCAACGGGTTTAGTCAAAATGTTGTTGAAAAAATATCCTATCACTGACAGTGTTGTACTTCAGGATGGATCTTGAAATGTTTTTTTTTACTTCTTCATTGCAAATACCTTTTTCAACAGCATAAATGGCGACTATACACATGGAAACCCTGTGGCATAGTGGTTAAGAGCTACATCTGCTAACCAAAAGGTCAGCAGTTCGAATCCACCAGGGGCTCCTTGGAAACCCTATGGTGCAGTTCTACTATGTCCTATAGGGTCACTATGAGTCGGAATTGACTTGACGGCAATGAGTTTGTTTTTTTTTTTAATACATGTGGACCTCACCAGATGGAATACATAGGAATCAAATAGACTACATCTATGGAAAGAGGCAATGGAAAAGCTCATATCATCAGTCAGAACAAGGCCAGGGACCGAATGTGGAACAGACCATCAATTGTTCGTATACAATTCAAGTAGAAGCTGAAGAAAATCAAAACAAGTCCACAAGAGCCAAAGTATAACCTCGAGTATATCCCACCTGAATTTAGAGACCATCTCAAGAATTGATGTGATGCTTGAACACTAATGACTGAAGACCAGATGAGTTGTGGAATGACATCAAGGTCATCATACATGAAGAAAGCAAGGGGTCATAAAAAAGACAAGAAACAAGAAAACAAAATGGATATCAGAAGAGACTCTGAAACTTGCTCTTGAACATAGAGCAACTAAAGCAAAAGGAAGAAATGATGAAGTAAAAGAACTGAACAAAAGATTTCAAAGGGCAGGTCAAGAAGATAAAGTATTATAATGAAACGTGCAAAGACGTGGAGATAGAAAACCAAAAGGGAAGAACAAATTCAGCATTTCTCAAGCTGAAAGAACTGAAGAAAAAATTCAGCCTGCTATATGCAGATGACACAACCTTACTTGCTGAAACTGAAGATGACTTGAAGCACTTACCGATGAAGATCAAAGACCACAGCCTTCAGTACGGATTACACCCCAACATAAAGAAAACAAATCCTCACAACTGAACCAATAAGTAACATGATAAACACAGAAAATATTGAAGTTGTCAAGGATTTCATTTTTCTTGGATCCATACTCAACGCCCAAGGAAGCAGGGGTCAAGGAATATCAAATGACTCAGTGCATTGGGCAAATCTGCTGCAAAAGACCCCTTTAAAGCGTTAAAAAGCAAAGATGTCACTTTGAGGACTAAGGTGTGCCTTACCCAAGCCATGGTGTTTTCAACACTTCATATGCATGAGAAAGCTGGACAGTGAATTAGGAAGACCAAAGAAGAATTGACATCTTTGAATTACGGTGTTGGTGAAGAATATTGCATATACCACGGACTGCCAAAAGAACAAGCAAATCAGTCTTGGAAGAAGCACAACCAGAATGCTCATTAGAAGCAAGGATGGCAAGACTTTGTCTCATGTACTTTGGACATGTTATCAGGATGGACCAGTCCCTGGAGAAGGCCATCATGCTTGGTAAAGTACAGGGTCATCAAAAAAGAGGAAGACCCTCAAGAGATGGATACACACAGTGGCTGCAACAACGGGCTCAAGCATAACAACGAATTGCGAGGATGGCGCAGGACTGGGCAGTGTTCGCGTTCTAGGGTCGCTATGAGCAGAAGCGACTCCACAGCACCTAACAACAGTCAAAATGTTACCCCAATTTGCAAAGTGTATAGTAAATAAACTTCAATCAATTTCTATTATTAGCTTAATATAATTTTTGTTTTAACACTCCTGACAGCAACCTTCAACTTTTGGTGCTGTCCTACAAATGAGAAAACTGGGGCAGGAAGAAGTAACTCGCAGGGTCACCCAGCTAATATCGAGCAGAACCAGGATTCCACCCCGAACCTGACTCCTCCAGCTCTTCAGAGGCTTCTACGGGAGAGAAATAAGGCTTTTTTTTTTTTTTTTAAGGGCTTGGAAAGGAGGGGAGGGTACATGCAAACGATGGAGAAACAAGAAGTGAAGAGCAGAGGAGAGCGAATTGCAGGGGAGGCAACGCGAATGAAGTTTAAAAGAAATATCCTGAGTGCTGCTAAAACTAGGAGACCCACAAGTGGTGTTTCTAGGGTGACAGTCAAAGGAAGGAGTAAGGTGAAGAATCAGTTCACCATGCAAAACTCCGTCCCTGTACCAGGCTCCGCCCCTAACCCGTGACGCTGACAGTCCTTATCCCGAAGAGAAGGCGGGACTTCCTCACGGCAGAGGAGCTACTTCCGGCAGAATCCGGAAGATTCTACGGGGAAGGGGCGGGGCCAAAACTGGGAGGCCAATGGGAGCGGCGCCTAGGTCTTGCCGAGGTGCTCGTGGGGTAACTTATCTCTTAGGAACCAGCACTATGGCGTCTGGTTGCAAGATTGGCCCGTCCATCCTAAACAGCGACTTGGCCAATTTAGGGACCGAGTGCCTCCGGATGCTGGACTCCGGGGCTGATTATCTGCACCTGGATGTAATGGACGGGTAACTTCGCGGGGCTCGGGTCGGGGCTGCAGCGCGGGGACGGGATCGGCGCGCCTTTATTGAGCGCCTGTTGGCTGCACGGCGTCGCTTTACCGCGGAGCGCCTCACTGTGAACGCGGTTCTGAGAAGAGGTCTGGGGCGGGAACCCTGGAGGCCCATCCTGGAGTGGACCCGTCGCGGCACCCTGGGCTGCGGCCGGAGCCTAAAGCTCAGCTCCACCCCTCCCCCTTCGTAACGTGTGGTCTTCTAGCACTTAGAACCCGGAAGCGACCTGAAACCTCTAGGCCATTTTTCATTTTCAGTCGGAGAAACTGAGGCCCAAGGGGATAGGCATGACTTGCCCAAGCTCATATAGCTAGTTAGTGACAAAACTGGGAAGATAGACTTCTGTAACGATTAGGAGCTTGGCACCTGGAGAGGGATTGCCTGACTTCTGCCACTTGCTGGGCTTTCTTGGGCAAGCCACTTAACCTCATTGAGCTTCAGTTTCATTATTTGAAAAGTGGTAATAATAGTAGAACCTCCTGCTTAGGCATTTTCGGTAGTGCCTAACAAACACTAAATTCTCTACGATTGTTAGCTGTTGTGTCATTCGCGTTCTGATTTTCCTGTCTATTTTCTCTTCAGGGACCCTGCTCTTCAGGGAGGTCAGTTTTTTGTAAGTAATTTTTAAGCACTGTAGTTATAGCACATAATTGATATTATTTGGAATCAGAATGATAATTTAAGTCGGTTATAAAAGAGGAAACAAGTTTAGAGAAAGCAATGAGACTACCTCAAGATTACACAAGAGTGTGACAGACTTAACAGTTTGCATCTCAGATCTTGAGATTGCGAAGCATTTTCATAGCCCCACTATTAACTGACCATAAAGTCATAAGTCATTACATTGGGTCGGGATGTAAAAATACATTTATTTAATAGTAGGTAAACATCTATGTGCCCTCATTCAGATGATCAGTCACTTCCCTTTCTTTTTAATGTCATTCACACTTCTCTATAAGAGTTTTGTCTTCTTTATTCTGTCTGGTTAAGTCTGTTGTTTCTCTTTTGCATTCAACCCAGTTACCTTACCAGACTGCCCAACTGTTAATGACAAAACCTTTACCTTAGAGTACTGAGAATTATGTGCTAAGTGTGTGAGATACAAAATATTATCCCTCACAAAACCCTGATTTTTTTAGCTTGCCATCATTTATAATTATACTCATATACTTATTTAGACACCTTTGCTTGATAGCTCTAAACTTTTAGCAGTGTAGTGTGTGTATCTCAGGAATGGGTAGGTACGTTTGTGTATCTCAGGAAACAGCTAGGTGTCTCAGGATGGAACAGGCTGCATGTTTTTATGTGTAGTTTGTCACAGAAAACAGTTTGGCTTTAATTAAGTCTAGTACGTGTGTGTAGAGTAAGTAAATGGATGGGGAAAATAATCTGTTTCATTTCACCAATCAGGAGTGATAATGATGACAATACCAAAACCAAACCCATTGCCCTCCAGTTGATTCTGGCTCATAGCGACCCTGTAGGACAGAGTAGAACTGCCCCATAGGGTTTTCAAGGCTGTAATCTTTATGGAGGCAGACTGCTGCATCTTTCTCCCACGGAATGGCTGGTGGGTTTGAAATGCCAGGCTTTTGGTTAACAGCCAAGTGCTTAAGCACTACTACACCAGGGCTCCTTCCATGATTACATTAGTAGCTAATATTTATGAGCATTCAACTATTTCTGTTCTAGTGCTTTTTATGAATTAAGTCAGAGTCTTATGAGGTCGGCACTGTTATTACCACTAGCAGTGGTGAATTGGGCACAGAGAAGTTAAATCACCTACCCATGGTCTCATAGCTACAAAATGGTGAAGCCAGGCTGGGAAGCAATGCAAAGCTTGTGTTGTCTCAGAAGTTGAATGTCTTCTGTGGCCACTGTGCTTACAGAGAATGTTTAAGATGTTTGTCCTCAAAGAACAACTAATAATTTATACACTTATTCTTGATATTTATTTCATGTCTTTCTTGCTATGCAGTAAGTTCCCTGAAAGCAGGGTCTGTCTTTTTTTCTCACCTCTGTATTCTCTGCAGGTAAAGCATCATGACAAGCTTAGTTATAATTGGTTGAATGAGTGAATGACTTTATCATAATGAAGGACTCTCTAAGGAAAGACTTTGCTCCCTCTCAGTCTTATGGCAGACCCTGAGCTTACCAAGATAAAAAGTTCTTTTGTATTGACTCCCTCCCCCTTTTCCTGGAAACAATAGTTTGGAAAAACGAAATCCTGCATACACAATTTAAAAACTCGTTTTCTTTAGTATTCCATCTTTTTGAGGTAGAGGCTGCTTTTATTCCCCTTTGCAAAGGAGGAGATCAGTTGAGGGAGTTAAGTCCCTTTCCCAGTGTCCACCAGAAGAAGTAGAGCCTGGCCCAGCTGATGGCAGTGCCTTTAAGCAACATTTTCCAATGTCTCCTGGGCCAGGTGTGGTCTCCCTTTCCAAGGTGGCTGACCACAACTTACCTTCCTTTCCAATATTGCCTTCATGCTTCTCTTTTTCCTGGCCCCTTTAAAAATTTTATCCACCATTAAGCTTAGTTTGGATATGCCTGTTTTGTAGCATGCTTCTCCCACCCCTACAAACTAAACCCACTGCCATTGAGTCATTTCCGACTCATAGTGACCCTACAGGACAGTAGAACTGCCCCATGGCACAATGAGTCATATAATTTGGGGTCAGTAATTTTACATGATAAGCTTCAGCTTCTGTTTCCCAATAAGGTAAAAGTGTATTTCTTATATTATCTCAGCATCTGGTTATTGTGTTTTTATTTTTATAATATAAGAAACCAAATGTCAAGACAACAAAACTAATTACTTCCAAAGCCATGTAGCAAATTAGAAGAACAGTAAATGAGTCTTCTACCTACCAACAACTATACTATAGCAGTAGGGTCATGAATTCTGGTGAGTCATTAGCCATCTCTGCCAAATCTCACCTATGGTGTTGTAAACTCGAACCCTAGCTTATCTCTATAAAACACAGTACTCTGGGAAGCACCCAGAGGCACCTAGCATGATACTTGAATGTAGGAAATTTTGTTACGTATTTAAGCGAGCTAGTGATATAACAGAAGATACCGAAGTTGTCAAGAAGTCAAATGACTTATTGCATTGGGCACATCTGCTGCAAAAGACTTCTTTAAAGTATTAGAAAGCAAAGATGTCACTTTGAGGACTAAGGTGCGCCTGACCCAAGCCATAGTATTTTCAGTCACCTCATATGCATGCAAAAGCTGGACAGTGAACAAGGAAGACTGGAGAAGAATTAATGCCTTTACATTATGGTGTTGGCGAAGAGTATTGAATATGCCATGGACTGCCAGAAGAATGAACAAATCTGTCTTGGAGGAAGTACAGCCAGAATGCTCCTTAGAAGTGAGAATGGCAAGGCTTTGTCTCACGTACTGCGGACATGTTATCAGGAGGGACCAGTCCCTGGAGAAGGACATCATGCTTGGTAACGTAGAGGGTCAGCGAAAGAAATGAAGACCCTGAATGAGATGAATTGACACAGTGGCTGCAGCAGTTGGCTCAAACATAGCAATGATTATGAGGATGGTGCAGGACCTGGCAGTGTTTCGATCTATTGTACATAGGGGCTCTATGAGTCAGTGCCGACTGGCTGGCTTCTAACAACAGCAGTGATTGAACAAAAGGATTAACTGAGTAGGTTAAGGGTTAAGCACTGACTTAATTTGAATTCTGCCTCCACAAATTAACTAGGTGACTTAAGCAAGTTATTCTTGTGTTCTGTTCAAATGAGGATAATAATAGTATCTACCTCATAAGGCTTTTGTGAAGGTTAAAAGAAGTGAGTTACAATGCCTGGTATGTAGTAAAAGGTAGTTATTATTAATAGTAAACACATCAAGATTTTTACAGATGATTTATAAGAAAGTTTAAATAAACTGTCAATTAGTGGCCTGTGATAGACGTGGATTAGAAATAGCCACAGGTAGCCTGTGACAGGCTAGGATTTAGGAGACCTTTTTCAGAGTCCAGAACTTACTAACTAGTGTGTGACTTGGGCAAGTCATATAGCTTGGAGTTCTTATTTTGTCATCTTTCCATTTCTGCCTGTCATGGGTTGTGAACTAATAGAGTTAAATCGTTATGTGGCTATATCTGACGTTATTATGATATGTTGAAATATCAAGGAGATACTACTTACTAAAATTGAAATCCAGATACTTTTAGTATTATACTGATGGTGCTAAGTATTAAATTTAAAAATACTACAACCCTAGATAGCGCCCCCCACAATCCCACATGAGAACATGTATACTAGTCACATGGGCCACCTGGACATAATTGAAGTATGAGAAATGCAGAGACTGAAGTGAAAACATTTTCAGAGTAAGATTCTGTTTGTCTTGTAGGCATTTTGTTCCCAACATCACCTTTGGTCACCCTGTGGTAGAAAGCCTCCGAAAGCAGCTAGGCCAGGACCCTTTCTTTGGTAAGTTGGTGTTATGCCATCTGAAGCTGGATGTGTGGCTCAAGTAAAAGAAAAGTGGATGGTTCATTTCTTAACTTACAGCTTCATCTTTACCGTCTTTTCCTCCCTCCTTTACCCTCCCTCAGGGATTCATTGGCCTAATTTCCTATTTAGCAAGCCAAGCTCTTTCCTACTTCAGGGCCTTTGCATTTACTTGCTACTCTCTTTGCCTGGAAAGCTCTTCAGACTTGGCTGGCTCTGCGTACTCTTTCTGCCTTAGGTCATTTATCCTTTCCTCAGAGAAAAACCAAACCAAACCCATTGCCAGTGGAGTCCATTGTGATTGATAGTGACCCTATAGGACCAAGTAGAACTGCCCATAGGATTTCCAAGAAGCAGCTGGTGGATTTGAACTGGCAACCTTTTGGTTAGTAGCCGAGCTGTTAACCACTGCACCACCAGGGCTTTCTAAATACCCTATTGTAAATTAATCCTTATTCACTTATTATATCACCTTGTTGATTTTCTTAGAACTTCCTTCACCCTGAAATTACTATTATCAGACTGTAAACTCCATGGGGGGAGAGATTGAATCCACCTTGTCTACTGTGGTTTTCCTAGAGCTAAGCACAGGCACATGGTTGTGTTCAGTGTAGTTTTTAAATAAATTTATGAATTAGTGATTGGTCTATGGTTTAGTAGCCATTTATTTCACTCAAATGGGGTTGAGAGCTTTCTGCAGATGGAGCCTACATGCTCTACTCTAGCATCATGGGATAATGTGAATTAAGACTTTTTAAGTCTTAATTCAGACTATGTTCACATGGAGCATAGATTCAATTTTTTTTTTTAACTAAGTTAAAACCACATTGATTATTGTTTTTAAACTAAGTTAGCAATGCCTCACTTACCAAATCTCTTAAAAGAAATGTAAAAATTTTTGTAAATGTGTGTTTTTATGTAGCTCTTAGAGTTTAGTAAAATTAGTTTTTTTGTTTTTTTTTAAATATTAGGATATTGTGGACCAACTTTATGAAGGACTTTAGCTGCACTGTTCTTTATGGTAGCCACTAGTCACATGCGGCTGTTTAAATTTAATTAAAACTTAAATTCAGATTCTCAGTCACATTAACCACATTTCAACTTCTTAGTAGCTTGTATTGTACAGCCCAGCTATAGAACATTTCCATCATTCCAGAAAGTTCTGGACAGAGCCTCTCTAGGATCCATCTACTTTACTGCACCAGGGAAATGTACCCTGTCACCTCGTTTATGACATGAGGAAGCAGTGTTCCACTATGTGAAATTTCCAAATAATAATAACATTTTCTGTTTATCTAAACATATTTTTTAAACCACATTTTGGAAAATTCATTTTCTAAAATAAATTTCTTGGTCCTTTAATCCCCATACACTAGATGTCATGATTTTTCTGTGAACTAAAGTTGTTCTTATGACTTTCAGAGGTGGGTGAAGTAAATAGCCATACAGTCCTCGTCTGGTTTTCTTGTTTTGGATTTTTTTTTTTTTTTGGAATTATATATTTCTTCATTTTCTGCCTCTTTTATTGGCTCACATCTCACTACTGTATCCTCCTATCAGTGCCTCTCCTCTCACCAACCTTGCAGCCACCACTGCACACACGGTGCTTTTTCTTCCTGTTTTTAGTTTGTTGTTTGCTGAAAAACTTCCTAATCACTGTTCCTAGGATTGAGTCTAAAATAAAGGTGAATGGACTCCGTATGCTTCAATATATAGAGAGAGCCCAGTGTTCATCGATGGTTCCCTGGGTGGGCAAATTATGCTTTAGATCATAGAGACTTGTTATTTTTGATAATGGAAAGAATGGCACTGAATGTGGATGTGGTGAGCATAGCACAACCGAAGTAAAAGTGACTGCGCACATACGGATGGATATAGGTGTATTGGTACATGGGTAGGTACAGGTGTGTACATAGATGAGAACAGATAGAAGTACCTATAGGTATGCATAAATACAAATTTGTGGGTGCAGACACACGTACTCATTGAAGACACAAATAAGGATACTCCTCAGACATAACCAAATACCTTGCCAGGATTGGTTTCCTGGGTTTGAAAGTTTAGAATCATAGTCTTATGGGACAACTCAAGTCAGTTGGCATAACATAGTTCACAAAAATCATGGTTTGCATCCTAGTGAAATGAGTAGCATCTGGGGTCTTAAAAACTTGTTTGCGCCATATAAGACACAGCTACTAGTCTCTACTCAACAGGAGCAAAACGGTAAGAAGGTAACCAAAAGCTCAGGGAAGAAGCAAGTCTGCATGAGCCACTACCTATCTGCTTTGAGACTAGAAGAACTAGATGGTGCCCAGCTGCTGCCACTGACTGTTCTGACCAGAGTCACAACAGACGGTCTTGGATAGAATGGGAGAAAAATGTGGAGCAGAACTCAAATTCTTAGGAAAAAAAAAAGTAAAGCCAGACAGGCTGCAACAGTGGAGAACAAAGGACTCCCTGAGACTGTCGCCCTGAGACACCCTTTAAACCTAGAACCAAGCCTATCCCCTGAGATCACCTTTTGGCGAAATAGCAGAGTGGCACACAAAGAATATTACCCGTAAGATCGGTGTTCTTCTTAAAAACTATTTGTATGAGACCAAAAGGTCAACAATTACTTAAAAGCAAAAATAAGATAAAGAGGGCAAGGAAACTAGAGTACTGGAAATGGAACAGAACACAAAGAGAATATTGATATAGGTTGTGTGATAAATGTGACTAACGTCACTGAACAGTTTGTGCAGAAATTGTCAAGTGGGAACCTAACTTCCTATGTAAACTTTCACCAAAACTCAGTAAAATATTATTTTTTTTAAGAAGAATGTTCTAAGAACCTGTGGAAGTCCTTCAGACCTTTCCAGGTGGTCAGTGAGGGCAAAACTGTTTTCATAATACCAAAATATTATTTGCCATTATTTGTGCTCATGGTGTAAAAGCGAAGGTGAGTAAATCTGCTGGTGCCTTAGCTTGAATCCCAGCAGTGGCACTAAACTATATAGTCGTCACTGTATTTTTCACTGCCTGGTGGAGCAGTCATGGAACACCATTTTTACTTGAAAGAATGGGTGTTTTACTGACATTTTCTTTATAGTGAACTAAGCCTGTCAATTCAAGGAAAACGATTTGTTAGAACTTTTGGAAAACTTGTATCTGCCATCATGAATGTGACAACTTCCCAATATTTAGAGCTCTTCTGATGTGATCTTTAGTGCTATTAACAAATATGATTTTGGGGTAGTGTGTGATGAAATGTCTCACCATTTAGAAGGTCTGCAGTAACTCAGTGAACCAGTATTGAAAAGGTCCATTTAAAGTGTAGTTTAAACAAATGGATTTTAACATAACAGAGTACGTAAAGTTCACTGATTGGCTTTACAGATTCCACTTCACCACTAACTTTTTAAAACCACCACTTGTTAAGCTTTGGTATAGAACCAGAGAGTACCCACACTTATCTAAAAGGCTGTTAAAGTAGTATTCCTTCCTTTTCCATGTACCGTTCACCTTCCTTCATTAAAATACAGCATATTCAATGCAGAGCAGACATGAGAACTGAAGTGTCTTCTGTTAAGCCAGACACTAGAGACTCCAAAAATGTAAAGCAGTGCCACTCTTATATTCACGTTTAATGGATTTGTTCATTGTTGTAAATGAATTAAATAAACCAAAAAAACTTAAACCCATTGTCGAGTTGATTCCCACTCACAGTGACCCTATAGAACAGAGTAGAACTTCCCCTGGAGTTTCCAAGGCTGTAAATCTGTATGGAAGCAAACTGCTACATCATCTTCTGAGGGACAGATGGTGAGTTCAAATCACTGACCTTTCGGGTAGCGGCCAAGCGCTTAACGACTGTGCCACCAAGGCTCCTTTTATGAATTAAATAGATGCTTTAAAATTTCTTAGCTTTAATTTCTAATACATTAAGTATTGGTAGATATAACCCACATCAACATAAGCTTTTTGGGATCTTTAATAATTTTTAAGAGTATAAAGGAAGCCTGAGACTAGAATGTTTGAGAAAGACTGATCTTGATACGCTAACTGTAAGCAGATTCGCTGAACCATTAACTCCCTAAACATTGTGGAGCTTCTCCAGAGAGGGTTATTGGAGGTTGCTGCCTGCTAGAGATTGAGTAGGGATGACTTAAGAGTCTAATAACCTAAGGAATGAGTAAACTAAATATTTTAAACCAAATTGAATTTTCCTTGTTTATAATACAAAATAAACTTAGAAATTATGAACCAAAATAAAACTTAGCTATAATACAAAGTAATATGAAATGGCAAATAGAGAACATTTTTTAAAAATAAAATTTTACCTATTTATGTTCTAATTCAGTTATTTTGCTAGTTTAGAAATATAAAATTTAATCTTGGCTTCATTAGACAAGATGTATACTCTCTTTTCCTGGTGTTTTTCAAAGCCTTATCACATTTTATAATCTTAGTTTTAGCTCTGGAATACTAGAGGTTTTCGTTTTGTTTAATATAGCTTGGCTGTGTCAGAAATGTGCTGCTTCTAGCAAAAGAAAAAAACTTTTTCATATACAGTACCCGTATGCTTTTTCTGGAAACATTTTTTTTCATAAATGTCTAACCAATACTTTGTCTTCAGGATAAAGGGAGGCAAGATCAGTAAGTATAACTGTAATAATTATTTTGATGTCATAAGAGTATGTATCTGAAATAACAATAATTACAGCCTGTCTTCAATAATATGGTCCAGATATTTTCCTTTCAGTAATATTTAGGAGACATGTCTTTTCTTTCCAGACATGCATATGATGGTGTCCAGGCCGGAACAGTGGGTAAAGCCAATGGCTGTAGCAGGGGCCAATCAATATACTTTTCATCTTGAGGCTACTGAGAATCCAGGGGCTTTGATTAAAGACATTCGGGAGAATGGGATGAAGGTGAGAAGTCAGTGATGATGGTAATAGTGTATACTCTACTTTCAGAGTTTAGAAGATTTGGTAAAAGGAAGTGATAGGTAGCAGAGACCTGACTTAAGCAGCTATTCTTTAGCAATGAAGCTGGAGTTTAAGTATGACTTTAGCTGGCAGATAGGATTTACTTATTCCACTAATGTTTTCTAAAAGTTACTGCCTTTTGAAACATTTAAATTTGATAATCTTGCTGGCATTTTGTCTTTAAGGTTATGGTCTGAACAATTAAGATATTTTTATTTCTTCAGTTTATGTATTCTTTAAGAATAGAGTTTTTCTATTGGGCCTCATAGATCACAATCTATAATATGGAAATCATTGTTCATTAGATGACAAATTTGTCTCTGTTATAGGTTGGTCTTGCCATCAAACCGGGAACTACCGTTGAGTATCTGGCGCCATGGGCTAATCAGATAGATATGGCCTTGGTTATGACAGTAGAACCTGGGTTTGGAGGGCAGAAATTCATGGACGACATGATGCCAAAGGTAAAAGAAAAAAGTATTTGATTCCGGGTGAGGCTTTTATTGTATGTGATACAAGTTTTAGAAATCAGAAAAGATATTTCATCTTTATTGTGAAATTTTCTTTCAAGACCGTTATCTGTAATCTTTAGATCTCTCGGGAGTTTTCATGAACATTGAGGCTTTTGTTTTTGTCTTCTTTCTATGAGGTGTATTCTCTGCCAGCCATGACAAATTAAATGCCATTTGCCAAACAGAACAAAGGTTGCTTTTATAAAACTTACTTTTGAGACATTAAAAAGCAGGTTTACCCCAATAATGCTTTATATTGTTACAAAGTTATTGCATGAGACATTTGAAGGCATATTTTTGTGGTTAATATTGACTCTTTGATTTTCTGTTCATTTGATTGTTTTTTCCCCCTGCCTGTCCACTTTAGGAATCACTTATTTCCTCGTGTATGTCTAGGTTCACTGGTTGAGGACCCAGTTCCCGTCTTTGGACATAGAGGTCGATGGTGGAGTAGGTCCTGACACTGTCCATAAGTGTGCAGAGGTGAGACTGCTCCTCAGCTGTGACCTAGACCCATTGCCTATCCAGTATATTATACAGGACATTGTCTTCAGGCCAAAGACATTTCCTAAAGTGACTTTCTTTCTTGGGAAGGTATTTTTCGTTCACGTGTAGAGGTAGGATAGAAAAGAGAAGTCCCAATTATCTCAGCAGTACTGAATAAAGTTTTTTTTTACATTAAAGATATGCTGAATGCCAGCCCTTTGGAAGATCATTAAGATTAAATTCCAGGACCTTGGAATGAAATTTTTCCAAAACAGGGAAAGACAAGATACCTCCTTAACAAGGGGGAGAAAAGAACTCTGAATTCACCTAACTACCATGTTATTCTGTAGAGGTTAGGTGTATTAGTTACCTGTTTGTCCCTTGTAAGAACTGACCGGAACCATTTTAGATGAAAGTGTAGACCTGATCTCTGGATACCCCTGTGGCCTCCTTCTACATAGAGCCTCTGTTCAGGTTGCTGTGCTAGCTTAGTTTAAGTTCCTGAGCTTCACAGAGGACACCAGTCCTTTCAGTAGCACTGTGGGTGATTGAAACTCAGCAACATAGTCTATCTGCACGTCCAGGTTCTTGTAAAACTGCTACACTTTGCTGCTTGATGCTTATCCAGAGTTTGGCTGTGATAAATATTTATGGAGGAGGAGCTGGCCAAACAGTGAACATATATCCTTTTGATCCTTTGTAGAATTGCTTTTTGCTGAGCTGTGCTTTACCATTCTCAAATTAAGGGACATGTTAAGTGGTAAACCTAGAAAACTCATTTTCTATGAGAAATGTTGTTGGAGATGTAGTGCACTATGTCATAGAGTGACAGAGTCTGATTGGAGAAATTTTCCTCAACGTCAGTGCTGCTTATAGTAGTCCCTTCTGCCTCCCTTTCTTCTGGCAGTGAATCACATAACAGATTGGGTTTCCCTAGAGTCTAATTCTAGGAAGCACAGAGCTAAATTTGGGCCCATCTTGCTTTTCTCTTTGATTTCTTTGCTTCCACATTTAAAAAAATCATCTTGAAATTTCTTTTAGGCTACCTTAAAACCATTCTGGAATGTGATGAAACATAAAGATAAATGCTGTTTTCTCTGGCAGCAAAATGAGAAACTACATATTTAAATTTAATGTCATATTTTATGGATAGTTTCACATTTTAGTGAGAATTGACCTTTCAGACTACCTGCAAATTCATATACATAAAGATTAAAACATAACCATTTTTGTTTTTTAGGTAGCCAGGGGATAGGCATTGGAAATACCTTAATAGAATTGAAGATTAAAGATTTTTAAATCTTGTTATCTAAATATGGTAGACTGGATTACCAAAAAGGTCATTGATTTTTAGACACATTTAAATATAATTTCACACCCTTATTTGCTAAGCACTTTCACTTCTTTTTACATTTTTAAAAAATATTCTGTTTTCACAGTCGATGAGGTTGCCATTCAACAATTTTTACACAGATTGTTTAATGACATTGGTTACATTCTTCACAATGCACAAACATTGTCATTTCAGTTCTGGTTGTCCCATTTCTAGTAATGTAGTTTCCCTGCCCCCTTACTTTCTTATCTTTGTTTTAAAGTAATTGTAGACCATTTGGTCTGATAGAAGAGATTTTTTTTTCTTTTTTTAAAGGGGCACAGTACCCATGGGTGATACTCTCTATTTTGTGAGCTAATCTGTTATTTAGCTAAAAGGTGACCTCAGGATATAGTCTTCATTCAAGGTTTAAAAAGTATCTCAGGGCAGTAGTCTTGGGGAGTCTTCTAGTCTCAACCAGTCCAGTTAAGTCTGGGTTTTTTAAGAATTTGAGGTTCTGTTCTACATTTTTCTCCCATTCTATCAGGATCCATCAGTTGTAGCCCTGATCAGAATGATGATAGTAGTAGCCGGGCACCATCTAGTTCTTCTGGTCTCAGGGTAGATGAGGCCATGGTTCATGTAGACAGTTAGTCCTGTAAACTAGTTTCTTCTCTGAGTCTTGGGTTTTCTTCTTTCTCTTTTGTTCCAGACAAGTAGATACCAGTAGTTGTATCCTAGATGGCCACTTGGAAGCTTTTAGGACCCCAGACACTACTCACAAGACTAGAATGTGGAACTTAAACTTTATGAACTATATTATACCAATTGACTGAGTTTTGTCCCATGAGACTGTGGTCCTAAGCCATCAAACCCAGAAAACCAATCCTGCGAGGTGTTTTGTTATGTCTAATAAGTATCTGTAACTGTACACTTTATGTGCTTTATTATATATGTGAATATACATGCATGTACACGTACATAAATCTGTATATATTCACATATACGTACCTGTACATACATATGCATACACACATGCATATATACCCACACATTTATTTTTTGGTTATTGCTGTTGTAACTTCTTTGTTCATTGAATTAGATTACGTAAGTATTCTGTTCATTTCAAAGCAGCTTTTGTATAAAGTGTGGACTGACAGATGGAAGGGTAGAAACTCCAGTCTAGGAATTGTTTTAGGCTCTTCTGTGTCTTCCTTTGAGGCATAACCTAAGTGTTTACTTCTTCCAGGCAGGAGCTAACATGATTGTGTCTGGCAGTGCCATTATGAGGAGTGAAGACCCCAGATCTGTGATCAACTTGTTAAGAAATGTTTGCTCAGAAGCTGCTCAGAAACGTTCTCTTGATCGATGAAACCTCAAGCAGCCCAATGTTTCTGCTCATGAAATCTCCTTTTTACTGGAAAACAAGAATGTTGACTACCAAATCGTATCTGAGCAGTTATTCATTCCAGTGACTAAAATCTATAGTGCAGAATGTTCTAAGAGGATAGAAATTGGTGTGTATCTACATTTTTAGTAATGGAATTTAAAGATTGGTATGGTGAATACCCTGTTTTTACTGGGAGACTTGATTTTTATAAAGAGTAAAAATATGGCTGTATTAAGGTTACAAAACAAAAATGTGTCTTAATGCCAAAGAAGGCATATTAGCTACTATGAGAAAAGACTTTTTCTGTATTTCTAGCAAGAATTTTCTGTTTCTCAGCTGGTTTGCAAAAGCAAAGGGAGTTATGTTTTTCCTGTTTCATGTCATTTGTGGTTTGTGTATATGCTTGATAGTATGACTAAAATGGAATTTATGAAAATTCTAAGTTTAGATTTAGGTGGGATGAGATCCAGTATTCTTTTGTCTAAAATATCTATTTTTCACCATATACTTGATGCATAAAAAGTATAAAAGAAAGAATGTAAGAAGTCCAGGGGTTTTCAGGCGCTCTGTGTTCTGTTCTGAAACGAAGTACAGATTTTATCAGGGTGTTTTCTCTGCCAGCTTTGCTGGAGGTGCAGGTTATTCAGCAATTTTTTTTTTAATCCCATCTACCATTCTTAAGGACGTGGAGTACTGCTGTTGCCTTTCTGAGTAGAAAGATAAAGCCTATATAAGTTACACAAGTACTTTGATATAATCTCATTAAATCTACAGATTGCTCCTTTGAATGGTAGGACAGGTGTTTTGTCCCCATTTTAAAAATGAAGAAACTAAAGCTCAGCAACAGGTTGGTACCATGGAGACGATCCAGTAGGGAATAGGATTTCTGGCCTGTACTGCTTTTACAGATGGAGCCCTTGGGAGGTGGGCTAGGGAAAGGAAGCTTCTTTTACTTAACATTGTCTTAATTTTGGTCTAGCTTTACCCTGTAGCAGAACCAGATAGCTGAGAATATTCTGGAACTATAGATATTGGCCCCAAGGGTATATATTTTATTTTCCAAGACAGACTAGGTGGGCAAAGAGATGGCATGGTGTACAGAGTTAATCCATAAACTAAGTTTTGTACCTGTGCTCCAAATTCTTAGACAACAGATAATGTACCAACCACTTCATTCTTATATTCTTGCTATGTAAAAAAATATGCAAGAAATGTAACAGGACCATTGTCATTAAACTTCTTTAGGTTAATATGAATTTTGAGAAACAAGGTTTGAAGAATAAGAATGTTAATACTTAAGCATAGACTAGACCTTGCTTGTTTTTTTCTAACACTACTAGGTAAATTTTTGTTTAATGCTTGATGTTTGTTTTTATTTTGGCTTAGGAAAAGGTGGTGCCATGAACAGGTGGCGTTTTAATCAAGTCAAACAACACAAGGTATATAGAAATAACTTTTAATTAAAAAACTTACATAGAAGATTATAATATCAGACATGACAGAAAAATTTGAGTTTGCCTGGCTTTTGTTTTCTTTAAAAATAAACGTACAACAAAACTACAAGCAGAAGTTTGTCAGTATTGAAATTTGAATATTTTTTCCCTTTAAAGGGACCAGTATAATTTCTAATCCCTAACAAAAATTTAGTGTCAAATCCCATATAGATTGTGCCAGCTGGCCAGGATTGTCAGTTATATGGGTACAATAACTCAAATAACCTTTTTTTTTTTACATAAGAAAAAGCGATTCATATAAATTGCCCTCAACTTTCACATAGAAAAAAATGGTATAATAGCTTCAGAAGGAATTTCTCTTAATACATACTTGTCAGTATCTCATATTGTAGTAGTATCCTTTGAAAATTTCTAAATCTCACTCTAGGATGCAAATAGGAATAGATGTTTATTTGAATAGCTATGGCAAGGAATGACCAAATAGCTCAGAATAACTATTTTTTATTTTATACTTAGACAACTTTCCTGTTTGTTCATTTTAAACTAGTGTTTTCTCTCCATGAGATACATCACAGTTCTTAGGGCACAGTGAGAGGTAAAGTAGGTAAAACTCAAAGTTGAGTTTTCAAAGATGTGATAGTTTTTAAAATACATCAGTATTTAACTCTACTTTAGGTAAAACTCAAAGTTGAGTTTTCAAAGGTGTGATAGTTTTTAAAATACATCA